GATAGTAGGAGGCAATTAATAGATGTGAGAAACAAACTTCATTTCATATATTATTTGAAAATAATGAAATAAGAACACATATAAACCAACTCACATTATTGATCAATTTTGTCAGAGTAAGCTTCTGTTGTTGCTCCTCTTTCCTTCGACCTAAAGCCAAAAATGATTAAAAAAAGTAGATAAATGCCTAAATGACCATGTATAATTCATAAACTTGAATACATAACAAAATAAAAACTTAATTTACCTCAGGAGGCTTCTTATTTTAGGGCTTTGAGCATGGTTTTTGGTTGGGTCTTCAGGTAACATTATTAGATTATAACCTCAATAAATATAGAAAGAAAAGTAAAACCCATTGGCGTACAGGAGACAAAGAAATTTGGGATTCTTATAAATTCATAAAATGAAAACAGGAAACTAAGTAAACAAACTTCACTCATTACTTACAATACATAGATTCAGATTATGGAGACGGTTGATTGGAAGAGGGAACGATGCTCTATCCAGTCGATGATGCCACACAGCAAGCCTTGAAATGGGTCGATTTGAATTGAACAGGGAAAGGACATCGGTGAGCAGGTGGAGAAAACTTACATCAAACGGTTGGCGGACATGACAATTTATCACATATTTGAACACTACAGCCCGAAATCAAGTTGAATTAATCAAGATTTGAGAACGAATATGAAGAGTATAATAAAGAGAGTGGTTACCGTGGATACATGGACTGAGGAAGAGAAGCACCGTCAGCTAGAATTGATGAATTGTGAAAAACCATAAAGTAAGTTGAAATTTGAACTTTGAAGCACCTTGTTCATGCTACCGTGAGGTTCTGGTGTGGTGGTTGTCGACACTCAAAGCGATTGAAGGTTTTGAGTGATCGGTGGTGGGATTAAGCGCTGCCGACTAAATAGAATGAAGAAGAAAATGTATCTGAAGCGGTGAAAGAACGAACGTTAGGTAGGCGAAGGATTAAACTAATCATGGTAGACAAACTAACCCGATGAGGCACTCTCCGTTGGTCATCATAGAGGAATCGAGAACCCCTGCGGTTCGTACCTTCATTTTTCCATTTATCAACCTTATCTTTGATCATAAATTGGGTCGTGGGGTCATCAAAATCTAATCAATCAACAGAACCATGATAAACCCTAGAATCTACAAACGCATCGACCGAATCTTCGTTGCTTCTCGCGACGAACAGTGATGATGGCTTCTTCATCGGAGATGGGGCAACCTGAATTCCTTCTTGATTTCCAATCAGAAGCCGCTAGGTTGAGAAGAATGTGCGGCTTCTGTTAGCAGAGTCGACAAATTTAATGTGGAAATTAATGAGATAAAAAAAAAAAAAAGCGAGGAAGCGATGGTATATCGGGGGCGTCATTTTTTTTCTGGTGGAGACGGTAGTGGAGCAGAGGGTAAACGGCGAACTCCGGTGGTTGGTTGTTGGTACATCGTCTGAAGCGGTGGAGGTAGCAGCAGGTAGAAGAAGGGAGGAGACTCGATTTGGGGAGGATAAAGTAAAATGTGAGACTATAGTAATGTAATCGAGAGATAGGCGGCGAAGACGAACGACACCGATCTTAGGCTATGGGGAGTGAACGACACCGATCTTAGGCTATGGGGAGTGTTCACACTCACTCCACCGGAAAAGTGCTGACGCCAGCTTCACACCCAACCCACCACCAACCCTCTAAACCTTGGACCCTCTAAACCTTGAAAATGATCACCACTAACAATATTTATGTTTTATTTTTTTAATTTTAAAACATTAGATTAAATAAAAAAAACATTATTGTAAACATAAGTAATCATTTCACTAATTAAAAATTCAAATAAACATATTATTAATGTAAATAAACATAATTAATTATATATAGTTAACGGTTTAACATAATTCAAATAAAAGTGAAACGGTATAATAAGATTAAATACCAGAATCTCGGGGACCAAATATGTAATTTGAATTAAATCATATAAAATGTGCAATTCGTTGTCTTCTTCACCCGATTTTTCTGTAAAACGGGTCTCCTCCCGGTCTTATTCTTCTTCTTCTTCTTTTTTTTTTCAATTCGATAGATTAAAAGCAAAACCACCGGAAATAGGGGGCAAAAAAGAAGCAACCAATAGAAACCTCCGTCTTCCGATCCACGCCACACCACGAACACCAGCCCTTGGGGCGGTGTTCACGCGTCTTCAGGCATGCCACATCAGCATCACGCGTCTTCATAGACGCCACTCCGGGTAGCCTTAATTTGATTGGCTTACAGAGACGGTGAAAGGCAGATAGGACTAACACGTGTATAACTAATTTGAAAAAAAAAAAAGTCTAAAAGGACCTCCTGAAAAGAAAAGCAGAAAATAGACAAAATTGACCATACATATATAAATAAGGACCAATTTCGACAATTGTCATAATCAGGAGATCACTTATGTCAAATCCTTAACAGTTTACTGTAGCTAAGGATTGATATATATATATATATATATATATATAGGTGAGTTCAATTGAGAAAATAAAAAAAGTTGAGAATGGGAGAATCATTCTCAGCCACTTATTTTATTCAAGCATAAAAAGACACGGTGGCAAACTTGTAAATATAAGAACAACCTTCAATCTCAAATACGTATCTGTACTTCAAACTCATTCATCGTTCATCATCCAAATTTCTTCTCCAACTTTCAACAATCATCCAGATTTCTTCAATTAAACCATAATCAACATCATCCAGTGCTAATCAATCATCGATCTTCGTCAATAATCAACACGATTCAACAGTTAACAACAAAAATTTATTTTTGGTTCTTTTAATTCAACCTTCAATTGTGCTTGAATACGATCAGATCTTCAACATCAATGATTAATTATACTCCCAGCGTTATTAGATCAACATCATCGATAATCAACAAAAATCCACTTCATATCATTCATGCAACATCGATTATCAAATAAAACTTGAACATTGAGGTTAGAAAAATATCAAATCGTTTTTTTTTTTTTTGAAAAATTTCATATAATTCTCTATTAATCTACTCTTTTGTAGATTACAATAGTCAAAATATCATGTTTCTAACATTTTTAAAAAAAAAAGTTAAATTGTATGCACTTCAACTGTTTAATGAAATGCATTACTAAATTAGCACGTTATATTCATATATGAATATGTTTTCTCAGTATATGATTATTAAAATAAAAAACCAAATATGCATGTCTGTATGTTATTCATATGTGAATAACATATAAAAATTATATATATTTGTAAAAATAACTTGTAATATTCATATGTGAATATACTGTGTAATATTCATATGTGAATATACTGTGTAATATTCATAAGTGAATATATCATCTAATATTCACAAATGAATATACTATGTAATATTCACATGTGATATACCATGTAATACTATGTAATATTCAGATATGAAAATATTATCTAATATTCATAAGTGAATATATCATCTAATATTCACAAATGAATATACTATGTAATATTCACATGTGATATACCATGTAATACTATGTAATATTCAGATATGAAAATATTATCTAATATTCATAAGTGAATATACCATCTAATATTCACAAGTGAATATACTATGTAATATTCATAAGTGAATGCATCGTCTAATATTTAAATATGAATATACTATGTTTATTATATGTTATACTCATATATATGAATGATATTTAAACTGTAAAAAAAAAAAAAAAAAAAAAAATTAATCATAGTTTTTATTCATAACTGAATAACAAATGTACTGTACTAAAAATCTGATTCATTTTTATTCACTTATGAATAACGATATGTGAAAATATAAAAAAATATTTTTTTTATTTTATCTTAAAATTATATCAATATAGATGTCTATTTGTAGAGAATAAAAAATCATGAATTTTGGTATATTTAAAATCATTTTTCGATAAAAATAGCCTCTTAAAAATTAAAAAAATCGAAAAAATTATGTTTTTGTATAGATTAAGGTAATGATTAGCATAGTTTAAGAAAACGTGTTTTGTTCAAAAACATATATCTATTCTTTTCCCATTTCTGCTGGTACGACGGAGGCTTTTGCGGCAAAAATAAATGAGTGGCTGAGAATGATTCCCCCATTCTCAACCTTTTTTTTTCTCAATTGAACCCTCATATATATATATATATATATATATATATATATATATATATATATATATATATATATATATATATATATATATATATATATATATATATATTGGTCCGAAGTTGTATTAAAATGAAATTATTGGTCCGAAGTCCTAGGTGGAAAAAATACGAGCGGGATTTTATTTTTGGAGTCTAACAATCAAAGCGTACGAAAACGGACTCTAATGGTTACACAACTTCCTCCGATGCTCGGATCAGTCAAGATTTAAATCAAAACGATGAACTCGAGCTAGAAGAAATTAAACGCCCAATGGGTAGGAACAAAGCGAAGAGAAAGGGAAAAGAGACTACTTCGAGTGCATCTGATTTCAGCATGAACAATGATGAAATGCGGAAGATAACATCTTCGTTTGATCGATATAATATAAATTTCTCCAAACGTTTGGTTTTCAACAAAGAAAAAGAAGAAACAAGGAAAAAGGAGCGAACGAAGAGACAAGAAATGAAAGACATGAAGTTTTTGATGGAAAACATCGATCTTCTCTCAGGACCGGCTCTCGAGCTCGTAATGAAGAGAGAAAAAATTCTGAAATTTTTTTTTCCGTAAGTCGTTAGTGGTTTGTTTGATTTTTAGTTTATGTGTGTGTGTGTGTTTCTACTTTTTTTTATAATTCAAGTTTAATGTAAGTTTTATTTAAATTAATGAAATGCTTTTTATTTTTAATTAAGTTTATATTTAGTATTAATTTAAAAATTATAATTCATAACAAAAAAAGTTAATTTTATTTAAAATAAATAAAAAATAAATAAATAAAATAAATAAAATAAATAAAAAATAAAAATAAAAATAAAAATAAATAAATAAATAAGTGAAGGAAGGACTTCCCTCCCACTTCTTGGCTTTTAGGTGAGAGAAAGGAAAGTGAAGGAAAGAAGGGTATAACCCATCAAAAGTGAGGAGGTATGATATTGCTCGTGAAAGTCATAATTTATACATAATTTCAACTGCAAAATACATATACTAAACAATGTTACGAAAATCAACCAACTTCGTTTTATATACGACTAAATCCATAAACATTGAGGTCGATCCATCTTACACGATTTCTCTAACTGTTAGCTTGACTTCCAGCAAACTTACTCCTGAAAAACTCCACTTCTTCATCATTCTGCACACACAAAAAAAAATTATTTAATTCTATTCAAGACAAGAGCACAAGTAAAACATATTTACCAATTCCTTAAATAATGGAGCAGGGGTCCCAATTTTGTGGCCAACAGGTATGAACTCCCAAGGGGTTTTGGCCTTTTTAATATCACCTTTATCATCAGAAAGGGATAGTTGAAGGGGTAAATTGAGCTGCTTGAGCACCTGTATCGACAAAACACATAGCAAGAATTATTTTGAAGGGGTAAAAAGGGTACTACTTTTTTAATGTAGAATTTAGATCAAAAAAAAAAAAAAAAAAAGAGTGGAAATTTACTTGCCTCAATGGAAAAGGATGGCATAAAAGGTTCTAAAAGGCATGCAAGAAGATAAACTATGCCCACTGAAGTTCTCATTACTATGGAACATGATGGGGGGTCTTCCGTGTAAAGCTTCCAGAATCGACTTTCCTGCATGGTCATAGAATAGTGTTAAGGGGCATTTTGGTCATACAATGCTTTGAAAGGAATTTGCATCCATAGGTTTGGAAATATGTCACATGGAATGGCATTCATTTTTATATATATGAATCTCCAATTTTACTTATCTAACCTTCTAGAACAAGTCATAATCAAAGTCCACTTTTTTATAGGTATAGAAGTCAAAATTACAATCTATGAAAGTCTTGATAACTTTTCCGTAAAAAACGACTTCAGTATGTCGAAATAATTTTTCACAAAAATATCAATAAAATTTTTGGGGACATTTAGACAAACGATGAGGGCCGACTAAAATTTAACTCCATGACTTTACGAAAGCCTTTACAAGTGGGATTTTCTGAAATGCAACGGAATTCAATTCCGTACGCTAGAATAAAATGGAATTGAATTCCAATTCCAGCCAGCTATGTTCTAAAATCGCAACTCAACGAAAGCTGCAAGCTTGTGGACTTACTTGTAGATATGCATTCCCCTCACCAGAGATGCTCATTGCAAGTTTCAATCCTTGCTTTAGCTTGACCTATGTCAATTACCAAACAAACACTTTTTAAATAAAATATATAACAAATAATGCCATATTTTTTTATAAATTCCAGTAATGATGACTTACCTTCTCCATGGCCTCTACATATTCGTCAACATAATCACCGATTTTATCTCCTAAAGCTTTTGTTAAAAGATGTGACTCTGCATCTGGAGCATCAGGAATAATGGAACCATATCCTAAACCTGAATCTTTAGCAATAAAGCTCAAGACACGCTTTATGAAATTGCCTAAATTGTTTAGCAATTCACTGTTTAACTTCGCTTTAAAATCTGCCCATGTAAATAACGTGTCTGATACCTAGACAAATAAGGAAAAAGGGGAACAATAAACAAATTGAACAAGGGCAAAATGCAATAAATAGCAATGTACTTGTATTTATTTGTTTATAGGTACAGCTTTTCATATTCAACTTTTTTCTTATTAAGGTTATTTTATTTTGAAAAATCTACCCAATTATAGCATTGTGATTTCGGTTTCTTTCTTATTAGAGCATTCTACTTTGAAAAATTCACCCAATTATAGAAGTGAAAATTACTTTGTAAATGGATGACATTGTTCTAATTCGAAGACATGAAAGCAGGGTATTATAATAAACAAAACGAAAGAAAGTATTGGCCCATTGAATAATTTGAAGATCACATCATGAATCAAATATTAAAAGCATATGTCCTACCTCGGGTCTATTTGTTAATAGATAGTATCGCCATACTTCTACAGGAATATTTGTATCCTTCGTGTCATTTCCATATATGCCTATACCCTTACTCTTAGAGAACTTGCCTACACATAGTGTTCAGACATTAATTAACAATATGTTGGTGCGACATGTTTAAAGCCAAAACCATAAGAACAAACCTGTCTCATAATTTAAGCACTCTGTAACACTAACAGTCTTCATCATAGTCCAATTCTCCCCAGTCCCAATAAGTGTAGAAGGAAACAATACCTGGAATATTATTTTTCAAAGTTGAATATAAAGTAAAAAGTGACACAAGAAAGATTTAAGATCCTCATCAAGAAATCGCAACACATTACAATATGAATAAACAGTCATCGAAATAACTATGTGGAAGCTTCTCCATTCTTGGAAGAAGGAACAAAGAAAGTCGTACAAATGTACAATGAAATGGAATGAATGAATTTTTATATTATGTGTAAATACAAGGTATATATATATATATATATATATATACACACACACACACACACACACATTTATAAACTGATATTCTTCAAAAACAGTTGTCATTAAAAACAATTATTATTAAAAGAGGGGTTATATTACAACTCTTCATTCCATTCCATGATGAACACTATAAAAAAAATAATAATAAAAAATAAAATAAAATAATAATAATAATAATAATAATAATAATAATAATAAATCTTGCCTAAGGAATGAAAATTAACAAAAAGGAACGAATCAGATTCCTTCCAGATTGGTCCATTCCGGATATCAATTCCATTCAATCTGAAAACATATAGCTATTCTTAAAGGTAATACAAAAGGTCAACAATAGAAATTCCCTTAGATGAATATACGGGCTTGAGACTCTTGTTTTGCAAACACAGGCACACAGCTACAAAAAAAAATCATGAAGAAATTGTACCTTAAAAAAAAAACACTTACAGTGTGAAATGGAACACTATCCTTGCCGACAAACTGATATAGCTCCACATTTTCAGGATTTTTCCACCACTTCTCCCACTCAGGTGTGTAGCATTTAGTAATTGACACGTATCCAATAGGTGCATCAAAGCATACATAGATAACCTGAAAATATGTGGTATGAGAAGCAAGAACCATAATAAAGTTAACCTAACCCTAAAAAAAGAGACATGAAGGATTGGTTGGATAGTACCACTTAAACAACTAAGAATGAAGTCATTAACTAAATATAACGTCCGTAAAGCAGAAAGTGCTTACTTTTTCTTTAAATTTATCAGAAGGGACAGGGACACCCCACTTCAAATCTCTAGTAATACACCGTTGCTTCAATCCTTCTTCAAACCATGCATTTGTTGCATGAGTGACATTCTTACTCCAACCACCAGCCACTGACATGGTGTTGACATATTCACATAGTTTACCTTCCAACAAAGGGAGTTCAAGAAACAAGTGATCTGTATCACGAATTCTAGGCCTCGTTTTGCAGACCTGTTTGCAGAAGGAAAAATAACAATAATAATATACATAGGAATTGGAAGAGAAGTTACAAAGACAAAATGTTCTTTTTGCAGAGTATAATGACAAAACAGGAGAATGATGAATCTACCTTGCATACGTATATAGGATGGATGAGTTCTGGTGTTGGCCAGGTACCCTCAACATGCCGCTCTGCTAAAAACTTACTGCATGTATCACAGTAAAGCTGCATGTAAAAAGGAGATTCGTGATTTAGTGGCTATCTCTTCTACAGAACCTAAAGGGAATAAATTATTAAATTAAGAGCTTAGAACAAGTTTAATATAACCAGAGGCGCACCTGCCCAACTGTATTCTCAAAAAGCCAATTATTCTCCTGCAACTTTTTGAAAATTGCTTGGCAAACTTCGGTATGTTGTGGAGAAGATGTTCGTCCAAATTCATCAAAACTTATATTAAACCATTCATACACGTCCCTGTGAATTTCATGATACCTAAAATAATAACCAAATAAGCAGGAATGAAATTGGTTACACAAACACCAATATCCTAAGTCAATTGTCACACATCTATCACTCTTGATAACTATTTCATGGATTCCGGTCTTAAAATCGAAAAGCAGAAACTTAATTACTTGTCGCAAATTTCTTTAGGAGTACAATTTTCTTCCAAAGCCTTGGTCTCGGTAGCTGCACCATACTCATCAGTACCACATACGTATATCGCGTTGTATCCCCTCAGTCGACAATACCGGGCAAAGACATCCGCACTCAACACACCTACATGCAACAAAAACAAGCTCAACTTCAACATTAACCATTTGCACAGCAAATTACAGTAAACCTGCTTACCTCCAATGATGTTTCCAATGTGAGGAACATCGTTGACATAAGGGAGGGCACTGGTAATAAGGATGTTTCTTTTGCCCGGAATCGGAAGCTTCGTCGCTTTCTGATCCTCTCCGGCACCAGACGAAATATCTCCCATCTTCGATGCTGTTCGAATTAGACAATTTCGCCGAGGGTTTAGGTTTCGTACTGCGAGCGGAACAAAGAAGAGTGCAACGGCGTTACTGGCAAGGCCGGCCCAAAGGCAGGGAGACCTTGGCCACGGCCCAAGCCACTAAGAAGTCATGAGGCATGGGCTATGCAACATTTTATTGGGTTAGCCTTCATTTGGCCCAACTTTTTTTTATCCAGATCCATTATCGATCCGAGCCTATCAATCTATCTAGGGCATCCAGTTGGATTGAAGCCTTGAGACTTCAAAAGGAAATTGGTACAAGGCCAATTTAGAAGAGGAGACGGCACGTCTTCGTGCCGTTAGACTCCTTGGTATGGAACAGCAATGTCATGTTGTTACTGACGTGGAGCATCCGAAACGATGTCATAACGTTGTCCCCCCCCCCAAAGGCGTTCTAGTAGTTGTTATCAGGATGGGTCTGTTGATTTTGGGGATTCTATACAAAAAAATAAAAATAAATCCTAAGTATCAATTTTTCATATATAAGTAAAGTTCACTAATACGATTATATGTCAATAACTATTATCAAAAAACTAGTTAAATAGTAATAAAAAAATATATAAAAAAAAAATTACACGTGAATAAAGAATGAAAAACTGATTAGTAAATAAAGGAAATAAATTGGGCAAGACAATAATAAAATCTTGATCAATTTACAAAGAAATTGTATGGAACTCTTGACCAGCTGAACTAAAAGTTGGTTTCAAGATTTATGGATTTTGCATGCTTATTTTGGGATTACGGGTACCAACAAAGACGAAGTTCAATAAAGAAGATCATAAAGAAAATGAGAAGAAGAATACGAAGATGAAAGGGAAAAACAGGAGAGCGAAAAGTAAACATGAAGAAAGCACATGTTAAAAGAATAAAGAAAATTTGAAGAAGGCGTACATTCGAAGGGTTCAAGCACGCAAGTGAAAAAAGCAAAAGGAGAAAAGAGAGTTACCACTCCCAACCACAACAACTGATTTTTAAGAGTTTGCATTTTCTTTTCTTGTTGATTTCTTTTTAGTTTTTGTTTTTATTTTTAGTTTAACTAAATAATCATGTGTTTCTCTAGTCTTTTGATCTTATTTTGTAGTGGTGAACGAAAGTGAAGTAGTGAAGGAATTTAACGGATGTAAAATCCATGCAATTCTTTGAAGATACAAGTTTGTTTTTTCACAAAAACTAACAATGAAAGACTTTAAAAATACAAGTTTATTTTTAGTTCATAACAAAACCAAACCATCACGGATTCATTTATATAGGTTATAATGAAATTAAAAAAAAAATCAAAGAGTGTTTGGAATGATAACTTTTGAAGTCTTTGAACCCACTTGGTTTTGGGGGATTGATGAAGATAGCAAAAATCAAAAAATATGATGTCTCTACAAGTATCCATCATCAAGAGTAAGGCACTTGAAATGCTAGTTCATTCTTGTATTCTTGAGTGTCTTAAGCCTTTAAGTACTTAAAAGATTAAGCACTTAATGGAAAAGTGTCATTTGGACGGGTACGCCGAGGGTACCTTCGAGTACGCTGCGCGTACTCGTATGGGGTCTCGGTTCTGGTTGGTAAGTACGCCATGCGTATGAGCTGAGTACGTTGGGCATACTCATCCTGAAGTTTGACTTGTTGACTTTGACTTCCATTGGTCGTTGACTTTTGACCAAGTTTGACCTTGGGCCAAACTTTAGGGTTTTTGCCTATTAACTAATTTTATATGGTTATGGTATTGATAGCTCGGGAAGTTGGCAGGGCAACAACTAAGGATTCTTCCATAAAGCTTCTACAATCGAGGTGAGTTATCCTCACTATACTCAAGGGTCTAAGGCACCAAGGCCGATCCTTTTAGATTATTGTCTTGATATGTTATGCTAGTATGATATGTTATATCAACATCATGTTGGATATGATGATATTGTATTGTTATGATTCGTTAGATCAATATCCTGGTAGATATGATGATATTATACCGTTATGATCAGTTAGATCAGTTTGCTTGTCTATACACTATTATGTGATTATATGATATATGTGCACATGATTGATGAGTGGTTGAGGCTTATCTGCTTTGTGCGGGAGCCAACAGACCTGGGCATGCCAACCCGATGGTTGTGGGCCATGAGTATTCCATCCCGAGTATGTATGGACTCGTAGTGTATGGGCATTCAAACCTGATGGTTGTGGTCCTGGGGTATTCCATCTCGAGGATATTTGGACACATAGTATGTTGCCATTCCAACCTGATGGTTGAGGGCCTGGGGTATTCCAACTTGATGGTTGATTGGACCCATAGTATGTTGTTTGTTATTGTATGAGTATTGTTATGTGTATGGGTATTTTGGAGGGAACTCACTAAACTTTATGCTTATGGTTTTCAATTTATTGTTTCAGGTGCTTCAGATATTTTTTTGTCAAGGCGAATGCGTGATCGTACACATCCTCGCGTTCTGGACTTATGATTTTTGGGAAACTCTGATGTTTGGGAAATTTTTTGGAAAAAAACTATGATTTGTAAACAATTTATGGATTTGGGTTTATTTTAAAAAGTTTAAATTTTATGAAATGTTTATGGATGTTATAAAACTTTTAATTTTATATAGTACAAGGGTGTATTTTAGACTTTTAAAATACTAGGTGGTTTAATCTTTTAATAAATTAATCTTTTAACTTTATTAAATTTAAAGCTATCTATGAGTTTATTAATTATCTTTTAATTAAACACTTAATTAATTAATTATTTAAATCCACGAGGGTGTATATTTAAATTATTCAAAATACCAAGGTTCTAAATTTAAGATTTCAAAATTAAAGCTATTTAATCAAATTTTAAATTAGAAAACCTAATGGTGCATATTGAACTATTAAGATTATTAGGGTCTTACCATTTAAATTTCCAAAAATTAAAACTTTTAATTTCAAATTCAAACTATAAAACCAAAAGGGTGCGATTTGAAACTTTTCAAAATCTAGGTTAAATCTTTGAATCAAAATAATCTTATATTATCCATAATTATAAAAATCTTCAATTTTTATAAGGATATCATATACCAATCAATAAAATTGAATTTAGGCATTAAAAAACGAGTTATGATAACTATCAAAATCAATATCTGATAAAAAAAAATCGAAAAATCTGGCACCAGACGAGTAAATTCGTTGAGTTCTATGTCGTAGATAGCATAAAAATCGATTTTTTAATCTTTTGGCAGTTCACTCTTGTATCAATTCAATTGAAAAACATCTTAGGCTCTGATACCACTGATAAGTTTTTGAGCATAACTACAATCCTATGTGATCATGCAACCCTAATTGCTTTGGATCTAAGTTTTTCTATATTGAACATACAAATATGAACACCAAATCAATAATCCTATAGACTAGCATACAATTTCGAAATTCACATATGAAATAGGATTAGAAGATTACCTCACTTGTTATATTGTAATAACAAGAACAATCATTGCTTGATCTTGACTTTTGAAAGCCTAGTGCTCCAAGTGTTGCACCTCTAATGGAGTTACAAACACCCAATGCAAAGAATGACTTGGAGAGAGGTGGAAAATCGAATACTCTAGGGTTTCTCAAGCTTACGGTCGATTTCACCATGTATGAGGGTCTATTTATAGTTGTGGCTGCTAGGGTTTTCAAGTGGAAACCCTAATTCCTTGCTTAAGGCTTAAGCAACCCATGGACCCCCTCTTTAGAGCCCTTGGACGAAATCTATAGGACTTCCATATAGAATTTCGTCCACTCCACTCTATGGAGTCCATCAGCCCTATTTTGCAACTATCAATGATTTGCAAAACCAGTCCCTCTATTATTAATTAGTTCCTTTAATCCCAAAATTAACACTATATTAATTTTTAATTAATTACTAATTAATAATATGATTTCCAGATAATATATTAATATTGCAATATATTAAAAAAAGCATTCAGAGTACCAATTTATTATTCATATAATAAATCATACCCTTTCTCCACTTGTCATCTTGTCAAATTGCATGAGTGAAGCCAACTCAAAAGGACTATGCTCATAATCAAGTCAAGTACATACCAATTATAATTATGGATTTAGACACCTAATCCAACAAGGAGTTGATGGATTTTATCTACGATGGTAATGATGATAAAAAAAAATAGTGTATTCAGGAAAAATTGTATTTTTTCGTCTTGTAATGTCTTTTTTTACATGTCTTTTTTTTTTGCCTTGTAATGTTCTTTTCTTTTAAATGCTATGTTTAATTTAAATATTATATTTTAATTTTTTTATGTTTTAAAATTCTTTAAAAAAAAACTCGAAAAATAAAAATAAAATAAAATAAAATAAATGATGATATGAAAAAAATTAGTGTTATAACATGGTGAGCTGGTAACCATTTCCCACAATGATGTTATGACACCATGGGTAATGTGGGATGTGAGATGACACTTTTTTGGTGTCATAACACTATGTCCATATGTAGTAGTGGTCTTAGGAAAACAAGGAGACATGCCCTGAAGCCTTGAAATTCAAATCCTAAATTTATTGCGCTTTTAAACACTAAAATTTCATTGAGTTTCGAACGGGAAATGCCATTTTTACCCTATGAAATATTGTAATTTGTTTTTAAAATGTCCCCTATGCTTTTTTAGTAGTATAGAGGCATACACTTATATCTACGTGTTAGTTATAACATAGCAAGTTTCCATTATCATGTATGTTTTTTTCTATAGTAAAAAAATAAAAATAAATAAAACTAAAAGCCAACTCACACCAGCAATAGAAGCCACCCCCATTATCCTCTCCACTTTTGAATCTCGATCAAGCTTCCGATCAAATTGTCCTTCCTAATTCTCAATCAATGGTTGTAATCAACATCATGGACCATTGATCTTTGTTGTAACGCCCCGTTCCTGGTACGTATTTATTTTGATTAAATGTTTCTTTTTTGGGAAAAGCTACTCGACGAGTTGTAGCCCTAACTCATCGAGTAGATGTCGAGTGGATGCTGGCTTTAAGTGATCTACTCGGCGAGTCCACACCTAGACGCGACGAGTAGGCCAATCAGGAGGAGACCCTAATCCTTAGGGTTTGCACCCTATTTAAACGACCTTAT